TTGGTACTTGTTGCAATCTGAATAAAACCTGTCTGTTTCATGTTCTTAAAAGCCAGTTCTTTCTATGGTCACATTTGCATCAGACCTGTCAAAAACATGTTCTGTGCATTTCATGTTCAGACCATTAAATATTTTTGCCATTATTTTCACGACAATTAATGACGATTCTCCCTTAATTCTCATTATCATACTGTACAAAAACCCACAAAAATATGTATTATTATATTATTATTAGTATTACACATTATTGCATTTTTATTAGGGCTGTCAAACGATTAATCGCATCCAAAATAAAAGTTTGCATAATATTTACATAATATATGTGGGTGCACTGTGTATAATTATTTTGTATATATATATATAAACGCACACATGCATGTATATTTAAGAAAAAAATATTATTTATATATAAAATATGTATATTCATATATAATATAAATTATATATATAAATACACATGCATGCTTGTATATATTTAAGAAATATTTTCATGTATTTTGACTGATAATTTCATTTTCTCGTTGTGTGTGCATCATTGCATTGCATTGCTCTTGCGTGTGTGTGTTTGTGTGTACACGCAGAGACCCTCCTCCCAATCAGAATGGCCCTGCGCACCCCCTCCCCTCTCCCACTCTCTTCTCCCTCCATATGTGCGAGGAAGATGGTTGCAGCCAGTGTGGGCCTGTTTTTAATGTCGCACATCCTGCCGTAATCCTACCGGGAGCAAGAGGAGGAGAACAATCCCTCCATTCAGGTCAGTTTCTCTCTTTCATTCACTCCATGCTTTTACATGACATGCTCTCCAGTAATGCAATTTGACTGTGATTTTTTTTTCAGCCAGTTCCTGTTTTTAGAGGAAGAGACCTGGAATCAGCCAGAGCAGAGAGGTGAATCACCCTTCATCCATCTCTTTTACATCTATATCAGTGACCATGTTGAGATCAGGTTTTGTGTTTGTTTTCCTGTAGACATTCGCTTTCTTAGATGTTCTTTTGTGCATTATGTCTCTTTTTATCATATGGCAATGCTTTGTGATATTTTAGGGTTAAAAATGACTGGTTGTACTTCGTATCATAGTAAGACCATGTTTTTGATGGATATGCTTTTGAATTCATTGAAGTTTAATGTAAATGAATATGATGCACTTACAAAAAAGTATAAATGGTATTACCACAAAGTACTATATTAAAAATATATTGAAATGATTTGCTCTTTGTTTGTTAACTTTAGTTAATTTATTAACTACCAATAACTAATAGTTCCTTGTTGTAAAGTGTTACTGTAAAAACTATGGTACAATTTTAGTTCAATAGTATTTTCAAAATACCATATTATAGTCATATGATACAATCATTGTATCATTTGGATTTCAAATGGTAACATTTCAAAGATATTTTTTGAGTAAAAACTGATTTCATATGTAAAAAACAAAACAAAAAAAAACCTCAGTCTAGTAGACATCAAGGAATTTGTTTTGGTGCTGAGGCTTCCCGTGCACATATACAACTACAACAAGAAACATAGTAATACAAATTATATATATATATATATATATATATATATATAAAAATTAATATAAAAATATAAGAATAAAAGTGTCACAGTTGGGTTTAGTCAGGATAAGCATTTACAGATTATGAGCGTATTTACAGTGTTTTAAATATTATAAATGATCTACATATGAATATCACATGAGTTGAAGATATTGCACTAAACAGTGGGAGTATTGCACTTAAGGCATAAGTGCAATACTCCATCCGCCATCAGGACCCTCGAAATCAAATATGTTTAAACTCTTAAAGTAAAATGTATTTAACTCTTTCTCATGTCGTCCCAAACCTGTATGAATAACTTTCTTTTATAAAACACATTTTGAAGAATGTTGGTAACCAAACTGTATCGGTTCCCTTTGACTTCCATTGTATGGACAACAAACACATATGGTTTTCTTACCAACATTCTTCAAAATATCTTCTTTTGTGTTTCACAGAAGAAAGAAAGTCATACAGGTTTGGAACGACATTAGTACATTTTTGGGTGAACTATCCCTTTAATATGGGTTGGTATTGAGGTTAAGAACAAATGGTTATGTTGATTATTTTGTCTTCCATTAAACAGAAGCGAGTTTCCTCTTGCCATGCAGTATCACTCGCCTGAGGTGTCCCGTCTGTATCAGACCGAGTTCATCCGGAGCGCGCGGGCGGTGGGCGTGCTGTGGGCCATCTGTACGCTCTGCTTCGCCATCATCGAGGTGGTCATCCTCATCCAGCCGTCCTGGGTGGGCACTCGAGAGCTGCACTACCGCGGAGGAGGACCGGCCCCTCCGAGCGGGACGCTGGGCCTCTTTGAGGTCTGCGTGGAGACCGATTGGCCCGTCCCAGAATGCCGTGGGTCTCTTCACACCCTGACCCCACTCCCTGCCTTCCAGTCTCCCGCTGTGCTGGTGTGCATGTCTCTCACCATGGTGTGGGCCAGCGTGGGCTGCCTGTGTCTGTTCCGCTTCTGCAACACAGCAACCGTCTATAAGATCTGTGCTTGGCTCCAGCTCACAGCAGGTGAGACGCTTCTCAGGTCAAAGAAGTGAAACGTTGCAAGATATTAACATTTAAACCAACTGTGTTCTCTCTTGACATTACTCCAGTCTTCAGTGTCACATGATCCTTCAGAAATCATTGTTTTTGTGCTGCTTAATAAAGTGTTGCATTTATAATTAGATAAACATGAAATAAAACATTTATATAAAACAGAAATCTTCTTTAACAGTCTGTCACTCCGAGCCGAATAGAAGTAGTAAATCTTACGGACTCCAATATACGTATAATTTAAGTCAAATCTAATTTCTTGGTATAAAAAGAAGCCTGTTTTAGGACCATTATGTTCTTTTGCATTGTAACACTATTTTCATGACAATCAGGCAATTCATTTTCCTTCAAAAATAATTTTGGAAATAATAATTAATGAATGGTTTCACAAGTGAAAGATATATGTGTGATTTCCTCTAAAGAGCTCATATAATATCATTTTTAAAGCAATTTTCTGTCTGGTGTTTCCTCATGTTTTTTTTTGCACCAAAAACATCATAATTCAGTTTCCCATGACTCTTATGATTTATGCCCTGAGTATCATCACCTTAAGAGTTAAACATGCCGCTTTTGTACCTTTCAAGATTTCTGAAGGATGTAAATGAGCTTGTTTATGATTGGCTAACCTCTTTGTGTGTTAAATGAGTCTCTGGGGTCACAGGCTGTAGGTTTGCTGTCGGGTCCTATATAGTTTCACTGACGGCCTCTTTGCAGAGCTATATTACATTGAGAATCTCTCCACATTGAAATGTGACCTTCTTGACTAGAAAACATGTTAAGCAGCAGATTATATCTTGTTATATATTATATATCGTTCCTAATGGATATCTGTTTGTGTCCCCAGGCTTCTGTTTGGCCCTGGCGTGTGTGTTGTTCCCAGACTCCTGGGCGTGTGCGGAGATGCGGGCGCTGTGCGGGGAGCGTGTGAGTAGTTTCTCCCCAGGGAACTGCTCCGTTCACTGGGCGTACATACTGGCCATGCTGGGGGTCCTGGATGCCGGCATACTTTCCACGCTGGCTTTTGTATTGGGGAACCGCCAAGATGCCCTGCTGCCAGAAAATGCCAAGGATGGTGATGGTAAATGGAAAATCAATTCATGTTTTATTTAGTTTTGTTTGCATGATTTTTAAACTAGATTATAAAAAACATTCTTATTTAATATATGAAGAGTTCAGATGCAAAAGCCTCTAAGTGCCATTTGAAATTTTCTTCTAGAATGATAATTTTTTATCAAGCTTGTATATTTAAGTTCAGTGATTTCACTTAAATGGCAATGATAATTACCTATTAATTGTTATTTAAGTGAAATTACTGAACTTAAATATACAAGTTTGATAAAAATCATCATTAAAGAAGAAAATTTCAAATGGCATTTAGAGACTTTTGCATCTGAACTCTTCATATATATATATGTTGTGTGTGTATGTATGCATGTATGTATGTGTATATATATATATATATATATATATATATATATATATATATATATATTACATTCAAATATAAACGTTTTATGCTTTTTTACTTTATTATTATTGTTAAATAATTTTTTTTTTAAATGGTTTCAGTTAATTGAAATAAAGCTGATATTAAATAAAACATAAATATTAGATGAAGCTGATGATAAAATTGCTAAAATGACCAAAACTAAACTGAAATAAAGATCAAGCTAAATAGTAAACTTATATTAACAAAATTACTACAACTAAAATGAAAATGACTCCTGAAAACATAAAATAAATAGAAATATTAATAGATATTATAATAAAATATATTATCAATATGCCAATATAAAACCTATATTTATTATATATCAATATATTATATAATTAAGATATATAATATAACATATTCAAATATATAATTAATGTTGGCAAATTATTTTTCTTTTAATGCAGATATACAACAAACTGACTTTCCTTTTGTTTGTGATATTGTGGTAATAATAAGGTGATATCCGGAGCTGTACTGCTTGCTTTCTTAATTTACTAAATTCCTAAAATGTACTAGATGTTAACTCTATTCATTATCATGCTGTTTTCTCCTCTCTCCTCAGTGACGGGCTTGTTACTGGCAGCATGAAAGAGGCCTGAGCTGTTCTCAACAGCCAGAAACTGCTGGTAAAACTGGAATCAAGGTAATGTTTTTAATTGGCACTAGCATTGGCAACCCAGCATCCTCTCCTCTCTTCTGCAGCTCACATCACTCTTCCTTCTCACCCTCTCAGGTGGCCGTCTGTGAACTTCACTCTCGAAGATTAACGATGACATGAAACGTGTGAAGAAATGCTCGGCATGATGTCATCATCCTGTGAAGTCAGCTTACATAACCTGTCTGCGTAGAAACAGTCACCTGGCAACTGTATCCGAGTCCTTTCTCCCCTGAGGGAGGAACATTAGTCTGATCTAATAATGGTGGCTTTAAATAGAGAAGAGGAAAGGTCATTTTCTTTAGTGCATTTCTATTTGAGTTATCGTCCAAGTCTAACAGATAAAATGAATGTTGTTTCCAATTAAATGATGTTCGGTTCAGTGTTCTGGACATTTCTTGTGCATGAATTTAAGACGAGATCTGAAGATGTAGTCACAGTTTCAGTGTTATAATTCAGTCACACTTAAGATTAGGGTCCAATTCTCACTATTAACTAGGACTTTTCCCCAATTAACACCTAATTACTTCTTATAAATCGTTAGTACGGTTGTTAAGTTAAGGTATTGAGAAGGATTAAGGGATAATAGTCATGTGGAATAAGGCTTTATTACAATAAACAGTTAATATCCTAGTAATATGCATGCTAGTTAATAGTGAGAATTGAACATTAAATTAAAGTGTTACCTGTTATTCTATATATCTGTTTAATTAGTTTAATTGTTGAGCTATTTATTTTTTTAATGCATGCACACACACACACACATATATACACGCCCGGCCCTGAAAAAAAAAAGGCGCTGTTTGGATTAAAATAGGCAAATACTCTATGATTGGATCAGTATTGCTGTGATTGTTATGTTTCTAATATGGTAAAGTCAACTGCAACATGCCGTCTGAATCGTCGTCACCCACCGTTTATACACAAGTCCTTTTGTGTTTGTGTGATTTTTTTAAAGCCAATGCATTACATGCTAAATGTGAAGTCATTTCTAATTCACTTTCAGTTTATAAGCAATGCACATTTCTCAACAAACTGTCGGTGTTCACATACACTTTATTAGCACGTACAGTGATTTTTGTTGTTTGACAAAACTTGCAGTGCAGATATGAATTTTTGTACAAGATCTTATGGCTGCACGGATATCGAAAAGCGTTTATACTGTATACTCAGAGAGCCACGATTTCCTTCACAAATTCATATAGTCAGATTATAAACCCAGAGGGCATGAAAGTTGGGACAGTGATTAGTTATTATCAGACAGAGTGCTTCAAAGCCAAGTCAAGGAGGACAAAAAACATTTAATCAAGCTCGGATAGGATGCAAATGACATTAATGACACACGCCACTATAACAGCCAATCAGAGAAAGAGAGGACGACATTTAGATGAGCATAAACTCACATAGTGCTGCTTATTGCTGTATAAAGCAGCTGATCTGATGTGTTGTGCTGTTTAAACCTGTACCAGATATCTTCTGCAATAAATATAATATTTCAGAGAGTTTTGTTTCTCAGTCATTTGTTTCAAACAAAAATGTCATTTCTAAAAGAACATACAATAGATGTAGTAGTAGATTTAGGCATGTCTTCCAACTGTTACTGTAAATATCAATGAAATTAATTTGTGAAATCAAATAATAAAGTGAAATTGACTGATTTTGGATTACGCAGTTTCATAGGTTGATGTTCGGGTTTGTTCTGTGTAGATTCATTGCTATTTGGATGTAAATGTCTATCACTTCTGTTTACAATTTAAACATTTTTCTACACATGATGAACAACATATATGTATGATAGATTTATTAATGTGTGATTTTTAAGAAATCTTTCTAATAAGCTGATGTGGAGCTCAGGAAACATTTCTTATTATCAACGTTGAAAACAGTTATTCAGTGAATAACTGAAAACGATGAACATAATTTAACTGAAATAGAAATCTTTTGTAACATTACAGTCCCTTTTGATCAGTTTAATGCATCCCTGCTGAATACAAGTGTTAACTTATTGACCAAAAAATAAAAATAAACGTCAAACTTTGAATGTGGTAGTGTATGTAAATTTGATTTCACAATGTTTAAGTTGTGAATGATCAATGGGTAGCTGGTTTATAGGCTAATTTATGTTCATTATTACAGAAAATATTCAATACAGCAACCTAGAAATGACTTTATTTTCCATATAGAGCCGTATTAACAGCAGAAAGTACAATGTGAGCTCTGTTGCTTCGCTTAAAAACTGAAAATGGGGTGCAGAGGTTCTCCACACCCACAGACAGCTGTAAATATATGGAGCATGATAGGAGCAGAACCAGCAAACGCTCCTTTAATCAGTGGAGAAGCTCAGGGACTCTGGGTTACTGAGATGTAAATGGCCCTGTGGTTAGTCAGAGACCAGCAGCCTAAATAATTGGGTTACCAACAGGTATTAAAATGCCAGTACAATGTGGCAAGAAAGAAGGACAACAAAAAGCATATTCCATAAGCTGTTATGTGTGTGGAATTTATTACAGTATAACATCGAAACGGCGTAACATCACATCAGAGTACCTTGGCAAGCAGGCCTGATTGGAGTAGATGTAGGCAGATGACAATGAATGCTGGCGTATCAGTAAGCTCGCTCTGTCTGTCTAGATTTCCTTCTATTTCCCCTCCCCACTTTTCCCTTGTTTTCCTCTGACTCTCGTGCACTCTTCAGGCTGGCAGGTACTGGAGGATGTGCTGTGCGATCATGGCGGGGTCGAAGGTCAGGGCCCTGCGCTTGCGGCTGGTCTTTTTGGGGGGCGGCAGGTCAGTGTCTATGCGCTTCATTCTCTGCAGGCCGACATGTGCCGTTCTGTCGTCGTCATCGTCGTCGTCGTCATCGAGTCTCTTCACCCTCAGCAGTGACGCCTCCACCTGCGGGACGGGGGCCGAGTCTAGGGAGCGGCGGGAGCGTTTTAGGACGGGTCCTCCGGATCGCTCCGCGCTGGCCACAACGCTCAGGTCACGTTTGGCGCGCTGGTTTGAAGGGCCTCCCTGACTGCCACCCGATGCCAAGCCCGAGAGGATCTTCTCAACAAGATACCTTAACAATGCAAAGACAGATATGTTGTTTGTTTGCTTAAACAGCCCATTCTCACTCCCAAGGCGTCACCTAACTGACGCCTTGGGAAGCATTTGGACATGCTTCAATATCTGACGCTTTAGGCGCCCTTTAGCGTCAGTTAGATGACGCCCTAGGATCGCGTGTACCCTACCCCCACCCCACACCTAAACCTAACCGCGTCCTCTAACTGACGCTTTCCTTTAGCGTCAGTTAAATGACGCCGAAGGATCGCGTCATGTAAGTGACGCTAAAGGGCGCCTAAAACGTCAAATATTGAAGCATGGTCAAAGGTGACGCCTTGGGGTGAGAATGTGTTGGCTTAAAGTTAGCATGAAATGAAAATATATCAGCTTTCATTTAATTTAATTTTTAAATTAAATAAATAATTAAATAAAATAATTTTTAAATCAATTAAATTAATTTTAGTTTAATATTTGTTATGTGCTTTAGTCATTTAGTTTTTGTTTTTAAATGACCCCTGGAATTCATACATTATAGCATATTTTAATGCATCTAATTAGACCTATATTTATAGAATAGCAAAGTATGCCTAATCAATGACTATATATATATATATATATACACTGTAAAAAAATATTGATGGTTTAACTTAAAAAAGTAAGTAACCTGGTTGCCTTAAAATTTTAAGTTCATTGAACTGGAAAAAGTGAGTTAATACAATGAAGGAGATTAATTTAACCATCAGAAACTCAAAAATATATGTTATCTGAACTAAATAAATTATTTAAGTTGATATGACAAAAGAAAAAATGTTGTGATTACTACACTGTAAAAAAATATTGTTGGTTTAACTTAAAAAAGTAAGTAACCTGGGTTGCCTTAAAATTTTAAGTTGATTGAACTGGAAAAAGTTGAAAGTTAATACAATGAAGTAGATTAATTTAACCATCAGAAACTCAAAATAATAAGTTATCTCAACTAAATAAATTATTATAAAGTTGATTTGACAAAAGAAAATATGTTGTGATAACAAATCTTGAAAATATTTTTTTACAGTGTATATATATATATATATATATATATATATATATATATATATAAAGGATATCATGATCATTTTGCCAACAATGAACCATGGATTTGTTTAGTTTATAATTTTTTTTTCTTTTTTAGTTGAATTAATTTTGTGCATTTGAAGAAAAATAAAGACAACCGTTTCTGTAGCCTAGCTTGCGCGAACTTATTCAATAGAATTAGACTTCTAGAATGTTCTTTCAAGTGCGAAAAATAATATTTTTCATTTAGTAGTTTTTCTTATCATAGTCTACAAATGTCTTCGGAAATTCCTTTTCCTCGATTTACTGAAGCATGTAAAACACATATCATTTGCAGCTGCACAGCCGTGTATATATCTATGCTGCATATATCTATGCCGCCTGGCTTGCTCATAGGCTGTGCCGCGGCAACTGCACATCCAATGGCGCGAGCGCCTCTGACCTGCGACCAATGAGACAACTCTACGTCATTGCACGTCAGAGCCCGCCAAGGGGGCGCCAAGTCCCCGAATTTTCCATTATAGCAGGTCTTCGTTCATTCATAGTCTGTCTGACATACACTCACCGGCCACTTTATTAGGTACACCTGTCCAACTGCTCGTTAACACTTAATTTCTAAGCAGCCAATCACATGGCGGCAACTCAGTGCATTTAGGCATGTAGACATGGTCAAGACAATCTCCAGCAGTTCAAACCGAGCATCAGTATGGGGAAGAAAGGTGATTTGAGTGACTTTGAATGTGGCATGATTGTTGGTGCCAGAAGGGCTGGTCTGAGTATTTCAGAAACTGCTAATCTACTGGGATTTTCACGCACAACCATCTCTAGGGTTTACAGAGAATGGTCAGAAAAAGAAAAAACATCCAGTGAGCGGCAGTTCTGTGGGCGGAAATGCCTTGTTGATGCCAGAGGTCAGAGGAGAATGGCCAGACTGGTTCGAGCTGATAGAAGGGCAACAGTGACTCAAATAACCACCCGTTACAACCAAGGTGGGCAGAAGAGCATCTCTGAACGCACAGTACGTCGAACTTTGAGGCAGATGGGCTACAGCAGCAGAAGACCACACCGGGTGCCACTCCTTTCAGCTAAGAACAGGAAACTGAGGCTACAATTTGCACAAGCTCATCGAAATTGGACAATAGAAGATTGGAAAAACGTTGCCTGGTCTGATGAGTCTCGATTTCTGCTGCGACATTCGGATGGTAGGGTCAGAATTTGGCGTCTACAACATGAAAGCATGGATCCATCCTGCCTTGTATCAACGGTTCAGGCTGGTGGTGGTGGTGTCATGGTGTGGGGAATATTTTCTTGGCACTCTTTGGGCCCCTTGGTACCAATTGAGCATCGTTGCAACGCCACAGCCTACCTGAGTATTGTTGCTGACCATGTCCATCCCTTTATGACCACAATGTACCCAACTTCTGATGGCTACTTTCAGCAGGATAATGCGCCATGTCATAAAGCTGGAATCATCTCAGACTGGTTTCTTGAACATGACAATGAGTTCGCTGTACTCAAATGGCCTCCACAGTCACCAGATCTCAATCCAATAGAGCATCTTTGGGATGTGGTGGAACGGGAGATTCGCATCATGGATGTGCAGCCGACAAATCTGCGGCAACTGTGTGATGCCATCATGTCAATATGGACCAAACTCCCTGAGGAATGCTTCCAGCACCTTGTTGAATCTATGCCACGAAGAATTGAGGCAGTTCTGAAGGCAAAAGGGGGTCCAACCCGTTACTAGCATGGGGTACCTAATAAAGTGGCCGGTGAGTGTATATTAGAAGATGTGTCTGTCATGGATTTGCACTGAACTGATTCTCAAAAATACGGAACAAAGTGCGTTGACTGCGTTCCATATCAGTTCAATACGGAACAAGACTTTTATGCGTCAAATACGGAACGATTCCATATTATACGGAACGGTTGGCAACCCTATTTCCAGCTAGTAACAATACATTTGTTTCAACTTTTGTTTCATTTGCTGGTTTCCGTTACCTAAGCATCTCTTGGTCTTTGTCCTGCTCTCTCTCTGGAATCCTGTTGGTTGTCGGAGCGAGTCCAGCCTGCATCAGTCTCTCCTGCTTGTAGCGGTTGAGTAGAGCCTGAGTAAGCTGAGGATCCAGAAGGCCCTGGGGCTTGGCCATGCTCACGGCCTGCTCGGTCTCATCGTAGTCCGGAGGGTACGGTGCCTGAAAATCCCCCTCATCCTCCTCGTCTTCCTCTGGTTTGCCCTGTCCGTTGTTCTGTGCTTGGTTAAGGAGACGCAGCATTGATGCCAGATAAGCTGCTTCTTGTTCCCGCCTCTGATCGTTCTCCACCAGGCGCTGGAGGGCCTGTCCCAGACCTTGAGCTCTCAGGACCTCCGGCTGGTAGTACAGATCATTGCTCCGGCTCTTGAAGTCAGCAGCTGGATAAGCCATCATCTGGGCCTCGTAGGGCACTGAATCCCGCAGGTCTCTTCGGAGACGCACTCCTCCCGCCTGGCTGTCAAAACTGCGACCTCCGCCACGCATGGCAGAGAGAGGCTGAGAAACAGACGGAGGAAGACAAAACCAACAGCTGATTGGTGAAAAATGTCTTCTGTTTCCATGTTAAAGCAATATAAACAACTTTGTGCACATTTTGGTATACAGAGAACTTTTATTTGCATGCATTGTACTCTTAAATATACCATTTGTAAAGTTACAGTATATTGGCTCCCCCAACACACACACACACACACACACACACACAGGCCCTGCCATATATATTAATACACACACGTATATTATTTTTCATTATTTTTTAATACATTTTAAAATATTTTTAAATCCGCCAAACCAATCTTTATCATGTTTTTTTTTTAAATAAAGCATTAAAATACACTACATTTGTATTTAGTAGGCCTACATTCGTTGTAAATTCATGGGCGTTTTTAATCAGTAGCCATGTTTCCATCCACTTGTCAAACGAATTATCTAAAGTTCGGTTAAAAAACTCATGCGGATAAAGCTGGTGAAAGTGTGTTTCCATCCAACGACTTTAAAGCGAATAAAAAGTAAAAACCTGTACGTACTACGTAATGACGTCACATGCTGTTTTGCGATCAAATCACGTGACGTTGAACTTGATAACCGTAGCAAAACTTTGCGCACCGTTTTGAACTGGAACGTGCCCCAGGTGAAGAAGAGAAACCCTGAAACAAGTGAGGTTGAACGAGAGAGCTATGCATTTTCAGCATGATTTTCAGTGATATATGAGTGGAGGATGGAGTTATACTGCGCATTGGTAAGTAGATGGAAGGAATGGGGCTCTCCATTCATAAATGTTTATGTTTGTAATGGTCTGGCGCCGCAAGATTAACGTTAGTTCCCTGGACAGGTGACAGTGTTTGGTTTGTGGGGATTTGGTTTAGCTAACGTTAGCGGTAAATTTGTGAAATTACATGAATTAAAAATGGATAAAGATGCTATAATAGATTTCAGTCACTTTGGTAGTTTCAGCTAAACTTTTAAAAAAATAATTTTTAATGCATTAGGGTGGATTTTAGCAGTGATGTGTAACGTTAGCTAATGTAGGCTAGCCATTTGGCGGTTTGAATTTTAGCTAACTATAGATTTTTGAATTGTAGTCTTTTAAAAAGGCATCTTAAATAATAAACTAAGTGCAATGTAGTGTTGTAAAAAAGAAATGTTTATTTTTTGATACTTATCTACTGAAATATTATCTGAAAAGCTTGGAGGGGGAAGGGGGGCGGGGGTTAAAATGACAACAACAGCTAATATACCTGCTGCCAAATTATGAGACATGAAAAATATCTATATGGCAGTTTTTCTGCATGGTATTGATTTCAAAATTATGGTCAGTGAAAATGTTGAGTGGCTATTAGTAATTTTGGAAAACAACTAACGTTAGTCAGAGTGGCTGGTGAGCAAAAAGGTTCATGTCAAGCTCTGATTGTTAGTAAAAACAACAACGTTTTTACTATAATGACTGAAATCGCTTGCATCATTTATAGCAATAATGATGGAATGGGGCTCAGCATTCATATAGACATTTTTGGTCTATGACCGTACATTTGTGATGCATATTTGTCTGGGTATGAAATTGAATTAATTAAAATGGTCATAGATGCTCTACTCAAAGCAATTTAAGTTGCATTTTTTATTTGTAACTTAATGGACTAAATCATAACATATTTTAATTCGTGCAATTTTATTTTGTATTGTTAATAACTTAATGCAATTGCATAATGTAATTGAATCTTATTTAGCAATTAATATATTCAGAGGACAAACTGTATGATAAATGGCTGTAAATATGTTAAATTTGTTCTGAAGTACATCTGCCTTTGAGAGCACAGAAACACACACCTCCCACTTCAATGTAACACTTTACATACTAATCATTCATGCATTCATCACAGTTCGCCACATTTCATTCAGAGGAAGCATTAGTAAGCACGTTTTCCTCTCCTCTCATCTGCTGATCCACAGTGAATCAGGCATTCAATTACACTTGCACACTATTGAGAAGAAAAGAAAGATGCTTTTCATGAAGCTGATATCACTGTAGTGTGCATAGCAAGCACACTCTGACAGTATGAGTAACCAGCTCCTCTCCGGCATATATTAGTTCTGTCACTGGCTCTGATGATCTATGTCCACCATTACTGACAGGAGACCTGCGTTTCAGCAGTGATTGATTGTCTAGAGAGCCTTAAATCTGTTTCTCTGTTCTTGTTAGCCACTGAACAGCTCAGCTCAAGCCTGAGGCCTGTGGTTTTAAACAAAGTGCCGAGTCATGACATTGCCTTCACCCTCTGTGTGCAGCATATTTGAAATCGCAAAGCGAGTGCTGAGAGACAAATCTCTGTGCAAGATTTAAATCATATTCTGCATCAGTTGCGTGCGTCAGAATGATAAATGAAACAGTTTCTGTGTTGAGTCGGATCTTCAGCTTGAGCTTTGTGGGGTATTTCAGGGCTGTTATGATTCATAATAAATGAGGCAGATAGTGACGTATGAAACTAAAGGAACAGGATTCCTCTGGGCACTGATGTGCGAGTGTATTTGATGACTCACTCTGGCGCATTGTGACGTCTATCCCGCCCCTGACCTGTATGTGTGTGGGTGGTAGAAAGATCTTGTTATCCTGTTGTCCATGAGTTCAAGTGGTGTTGATGTCCTCCGGTTTCTTACCATCTGCTCTACTGCTCTAATGCTCTACTCCGCATTACTGCGCCAGTGGAGAGATTTCTAACATGAACAACTTTCGGCAAAGTTACACTGCTAGTCTGCTAGTTAAACTCCCGCAGACTCCAGCCAAAGTGCGTGTGTCATTATAAAACATACTAGAGATTATTAATATTAATAGTGTAACATAAGCTACAGTTTTCATTAAAACATTTTACAGTACAGTTTAAGTGTTAGCCAATTGGTCCTGTTACTGTTAACTAAAAGTATAAAAAATCATTTTCAGTTATTGAAATAAAATAACAAAAATTAGAATTAGAAATCTAGAAATGAAAAAAAAAGTACTAACATTATTAACTCTAGTTCTGTCAAATCGATTAATCACATCTATCATAAGTTTGTAAATGTATGTGTTAATGTGTTTGCTGTTTGTGTGTGTGTGTGTATATGTACAGTGTATATATATATATATATATATATATATATATATATATATATATATATATATATATATATATATATTACACACACACGCACATATATTTACAAACTTTTATGTTAGGTGTGATTAATCGATTTGACAGCACTAATTATTACTAATAATAATTACTTAAACTAAAGCTGAAATAAAAATAAAATAAAACTATTAAAAAACAAACTAATAAAAAAATAAAAAAGCACATATAGAAATGTTGCCTTGGGAACTAAATGAAATAAATAATAATATTAATATTGAAGATAATAATTACTAAAACTAAAGGTGAAATAAAAATAAAATAAAGCTAACTAACAAACTAATAAAAATAATAAAAGAACATTATAAAATTGCTATAACTTAAACTAAAATACAAATTGCAAACTGAAAATATAAAAACGTTAATTAAGATATTAATAAATGCTATTCATATATATATATATATATATATATATATCTTAATATATATATATATATATATATATATATATATATATTTATTTATTTATCAGCTTTACTATAGCCTATACTATAAATATGTAGTACAGCTTATAAAGAAAAATATATAAAGTTTCAGTGATATTAATCTTTCTTTTTCTTTTAAAATAAATCAGTTAATTGAATTTGAATTAAATTATGCCACATGAAGCGCAAGCATTTTTACAGTCTAGATGGATATAATGGATGGATGGATGTGAGAAAACTGAGTGTGCTCTCTGAAAGCAGTTGCCATGGCAGCGTTCCTCCTCCGCTCCGAGTGAAAGACTGGCTGTTTGTTCTGCTAATGAGATTGTGCATCCTCTACTATTGATTTTGTCCTGTGTTGTCCTTCAGATACGGCCCATAATCCTTCACACATTTCCAGAATCACTGTGTTTTTTATATTCAGCTTAGTATCAGTGACGGCCGCTGTCCATGGTGCTGAAAACCTGAGCGCACACGCTAATGAATGCAACAGATGGTCAAAACAAACTCTACTAGTTACTTTAATTCACAACAGCTGCCCACAGATCTCTCCAGTGCATCAGTGCTACAATACATTATCTAGAGATCTAGAGACCAGTATACCACAGGCACTATTGTTGCAAATAAGACTTTGTAACACCTGTTATTGAATTAAATAGAATATTCTCTGAATAGACCTACATTTAGTTAATGACAAAATATAGTACAGTCCTGGATTAATCAGTAATAGAGTTGCAGAATAAACAAATGCTGTCTCTCATCATAAAATAACACGGAGCTCTGTAATTGAACGATGCATGTAATATTTAATGTGATCTTGGGCCTCCATTTCTGGACACTGCCTTTCAGAGATATTGAATTGAATGAGGATTCTATTCGCCAGTAAAGCCCTGTTGATGATATATGCTCTGTTGTTGCCAGGCAATGAGGATTGTACGCCCTATTTCACGCCATCTGGCTCGAGTGATCTCGATCAGTTCAGCAAAAATGAACACGCAGCTAAGCGTAACTAAAAAGCTAAAAAGCTAAAAAAAATAAATAGTACACAGTGTACTCTCCCATATTCACAATAATCCATGTGCAATGATTCAAATACATATATTTAAAATGAAATGAATGAAATCAGCATTTACCAGCCAATTCAACCCTTTATTCTAAACTGCATAGAGGCAAAAAGGAAGAAAACACGCTGGTTGAAATGTAGCTATAGAGGAAGCGGTCTCACCAAACACACATGATGAGGGTCTGGTGTGGTGTTTGCTTTACCTTTGCCTCTGGTGTGAGGATCTGGAACAGCGTCAGAGAGACGAAAAGCAGAACAGAGTTGGTCAGAAGGCCCGACATCCTGAAGGAGAGAATGTAGCTGCCTCTGCAGTGAAGAGATACGCTGCCAATGAACACCAGCAGAGATAGACAGAGAGAAACAGAGGGAGGGAAGGAGGGGGAGGAGCTTTACTGTTACTCTGGAAAGAGAGAGGGAGGGAGGGAGGGAGGGGGAGGAGCTTCACTGTTACTCTGGAGAGAGTCAGAGGGAGGGGGAGGAGCTTCACTGTTACTCTGGGGGAGTCAGAGGGAGGGGGAGGAGCTTCACTTTTACTCTGGGGGAGAGAGAGTGCTTGTGATAGTGTATGGTAAAAATTTACTACTGCAATCTGAAAAATCAGATCAATGGGTAAATAATGTCTGGCTGTACAAAATAATGACAATTCACAATTTTGGTATTTTGGAGTACCTTTTTATCGTGCAGTATTATCAAAAATGCAAGTGACATGAAGTTTTCAGAATTGTGTAGTGGTAGTAGTACAGTGAATATTATTATAACTAAGACATAGTAAAAACAAGGCATGTAAAATGTAAACATAAATTCTAGATTTATGTAAAATGCATAATATGCGAAACGTATTTATTCATTTTGCATGTACACTTCTAAATTACTTACAAATGAGAAAAAAGTTAAATGCCAAAGCCACAAATATTTTCAATACAGAACTTCAAGAGTGAACGAGAATATTAAAGCCAGTGATAAAGTAGTAGAAGAATAGAGATTTAATTCATGGTTATGAATTCAGTAAAAGTAACCTTCAATTTTAAAAATTGTGATTTAAAATAAATAAGATGTAGATACAATTATTATGATAGGTATTTTACTTTTATTTTGAAAGAGTATTATAGTTCAGCATGCAGAAAATGATTTGATTAATCTGAATCGATTAATTGATTGGTTGTCTCTTCTTTCCACTTCTGGAACTCTGTCCTCTTATACATCCATATAGCATTAGCTGTCCCAGTAATCACTGAACCTGTTGAAACAAATGCTAAACAATGTAGCAAAACACAAAGCTATGTGCAAATGAATATTAGACATGAAGATGAGTTGATTGGATGAAACATACTTTTGCTCCTGATGATCACTACCACAGTCATGATGACGAGACTAACAGCAATGCAGGAGAAAAAGCCGACGAGGAATAAAGATACTCCTTTATCATGCTGATTTTCAGTTAAATCTGAAAGCAAACACAAGAAACATATCCCCCCCCCCCCAAAAAAAAAGAAAATTAATAATAATACAGTTACATTCACAGTTTTTGTTTTACCAGATTTAGTATCAGTATCGGCTGTCCTGACCGTTAATTTAGGTAGGGCAGATTCTGGGTCTTAGCGCTAGTTTATGATAAACATTTTGGAAGTTTTATATTCTGATCGCTGAACAAAAAGCACTTTTGGCAGAGTTCTTACGTCCTTGTTGTGTTATAAGTAATGTTTATTGTCAGAACAAACATTAAAAACACATACTATATTAGGTCTAAAGGCTATTTTCACTTTCAGCATGTTTAAACTAAAGGATTTCTACTTTCAATTAATCTGATATGCTACTACAGACATGACAACCAGCTACTAACCTGATGCAGACTAAAATACACACAAAAATAATATATCATCTTGGACTGGAGTGAGGTTAATGTAAGGTAACAAAAAATAAATAAGCGGTCAGTCTGAAATCTGACCCAATGGCTCTCATTAAGTCAATAAAGTGTAAATTACAGGTTAACCACATCCAATTAATGTATAAATTAAAGTGCTCAATATGTATATATTTAAAAATGTCTGTCTTAAAATGCGTTAAAATAACATTTATTGGGGATTCTTCAAAGGTAGCATGTTTTTTACAGTAACTGGGTGATGAGGTCACCTGTTGCAGAAAAGTAACAAGTAACAAGAACAGCTAAAACAAAATTGAAACGATTTACAGGCCAGAGTTTCTATTTATTAGCCTATATCATTTTTGCAGCTTTGAGCAATGTAGCCAATCACAGATTATTGTGTTGATTTAGGAACGATAGACTTCCCTCACCGCTCAAAACTGACTTTTTGTTCAGTGATGTATGCTGGCAAATTCTCGAATTATAACAAACAACGCATGTATATATTAAGAAAGATTCATTGTTAATAACAGAGATAATGGGAGCGCACTTTGCACAGTCATCATGCCAAACCATGCCTGTGAGGTAAGGCATAACGTTACGCTGAGTTTCAGGCCAAAGTCCAGTTTGCGCGCTGTCGCCTCCGTCATGATCATCTATTGTTTATATATATTCTAAATATACTTCTTATTTATTAAAACCAGTCAATTGGTGGATGAAACATTGATTTAAATTAAGATTCAATTAATAAAAAACGAAATTCACTTTAAAGAAAGGTTTCTTTGTGGTTTCTCTTTAATATCTCTGTGAAAGTTTTAAAGTCGCTTTCAGAACGGTCATGTCTGTGAATATAAAACGCATGTGTAGACTGATATTTTTCAAATGTCTAGACCACTGATCTATATAATATATCATTGTATAGATGAGGGGTCTGGACTAGAGTGCTAGCATTCTATGTAAACAAAACTTCAACAGGAAGTGGAAAACCGTTTAGTCCGATTAGGAAATAGTCCGATTAGGAAACCCTAAACCGATTAGGAAATAGAACGGGCGCAGAATATGGTGGATAAACCTAATTTGCAATGGGGGTTGAATAATTATGATTACAACTGTAGGTCTCACTGTAATTTAGGAATGCTAATAAACAATAAGTAAATGAGGCATGTCTTTGCCATGGTGCTGGTAATGTTCATTTTAAATTGAAATAAATAAATAAATAAATAAATAAGCTGTTCCTTTAATAATTCAAATAAAACATTAATAAAACACTGTAAGTCCACTCTCTTAAAGCCTGTTCACACAAAGAACGACAACTATAATGATAACTATATTAGCAACCACACCAACGCATGATCGCGCATCTTTTTATTCTGTTCTCGCGTTGTGGGTTCAAAGTAGCGAAAATGGATGATAGGCATCTCGAATGTTGATCTACTACTTCCTAGCACCATCCCCTATAAATAAATAAACACACACACATGCATATATATATTAGCAAAAAAATCCCAAAGATATTATTCCTCCTATCTTTATCGTTATAGTTGTGGTGTGAACTCTGCTATTCTTTAATATGGAGAAAGATTTTTAGAACTAGCCTATATCTTTATCGTTATCTTTATAGTTATCAACCTTGGTGTGAACAAGCCTTTATTGTTCTCTATGTAATACATATTTTCATATATCTAATAGATACTCAAACCCTCATGTCATGTTGGGGGTTTGAGTTTCTATAAGATGTATAAGATAAACATACAAAGTATATTTTACTTTTTAAAATTTTGGAAAGCTGTTTTTATAATCACTAAACCATTAGAAAAATATAAATGCATATATTCATATTCAAAAAATCCTTCATTCATTCAAAAAATAAATAAATCGGTAACCAAAATCAAAAAGCATCAAACAGCAAATCTGCTGACTTACTTTGTGTCTGGTAAGATGTTGTGCTCATGTTGGTGGCTTCAGCTTCGGTAAAAAAGAGAAACACAGTCATTTTTATTTACTTTTTACAATTAATGAATAAATTATTTAAAGGGATAGTTCACTTTGAAATTAATTTTTGGTACGTTTTAGCTTACCTCAAGGACCTCCAAGATGTAGGTGTCTTTGTTTCCGCAGTAGTTTCAATTTTGATATTTTTAGGTCAAACCGTTCTTGTCTGTCAGTCATATAATGGAGGTCTATGGTCACCACCTCAAAGAGCATGCACAGAGAAGACAATATAAAAACGAACGACGCTTTGGTCTGTGCAAGCGCCGGAAGCGATCTCTCACGCGTGTACGTCACTCATTGTTTACACAGAGATTTCAGAAGTGTTACCCTTCACTGTGAAGATGTAAACGCATATTTAGATATACAGGAAATTGCAATGAAAGACGATTTCGATATATCAACAGACAACAAGACAACGTGCCCTCAGATCACTTGGACGTGGCTGTGGCTACGAGAGGTAAAAACGATATAAATACTGTTCGTTTTTCACACAAACCGCTCGTTTCGTGTCTTAGGCCATCAATGTGTACTTAGATTTACAAGTCATTAAATCATGTTTAATCTGGACTTCTCTGTGCATGCTCTTTGAGGTGGTGACCATAGACCTCCATTATATGACTGACAGACAAGAACGGTTTGACCTAAAAATATCAAAATTGAAACTACTGCGGAAACAAAGACACCTACATCTGGGATGCCCTTAAGGTAAGCTAAAACATACCAAAATATAATTACAAAGTGAACTATCCCTTTAATAATATTAATAAATTACAGAACATGAAATAATGAGCCTGTACTTGTATACAACTGCATCACTGCCATTAAATTATTACATGGAAACCACATTATACTTGACAGGACAAAACATTTTTTTTTCAAGTGTTTAGATTACATTGACATTCAGGTGTCAAAATAGAGCATTAGAATTTGAATTATTGTTGCATTCTGTTTTACCATATGGGCTGTAGGTGTAAGTCTCACTGCGACGGTTCACCGCTGAATTAATCTCGTGCACACAGGTGAAGGAAACAGGTGGACTCACTTTCACATCAAACATACACTTATAATGAAGTGAATAACACAGTGTGTCCTTCATTGTGTAGTTGTGTTCACCCTCCACTGACAGCTGAAAAGAGCTCTCAATGAACCACCTCCCAAATGAACACATCACTATTACATGCTCTCTGTCCTGCATCTGCCCATACACTGTGATGTTGGGCTGTGAGACATCTGAAATAAAACACACCAACATGCTTATTTGCAATATATTCTTCAAACTGAGAGCCAAGATGAAACTAGAAATATTATATATATATACATATATTATCCTTTCATTCACTCCAGTTAAAGAGTGTTGGTGTTAGGTTCTAAATTTCGGCGCTGGGTTGCGAGTATTGGGCATAATTTTACTCATCCCTACAGGTTTCGTGCTTACCCATTGTTTTATATAAATGACGCACACATAAAAACTAGAGACTCTCTAACTAGAGATCTGCACTCCCTCGGGAATACTGCAGGACCCAAAGCAAAAGAGTGAGGCGCGGGACTAGATTTAATGGCTTTTAATAAGAAATAAAGATTTTAATAAAAAATAAAGTATCTACTGTATACATCGATACTGATGACGAATATCGAAAGTATCGATACTCAAATAAAAATATTTTAACATAATTGGATGATTAACCCATGTTAGTGAATAATTGTGTAGTAGAACATTTTCCTGCTCATCTGAATGTGCGCAAAAGCTGCAAGTCAGAACCAATCAATCACAGAGAGCATTCACACACTGCCAAAAGTATCATACAAAACCACGCACTGTTGAGCAATGCTTAACAGAAGACAGAAAAAAAAACAAAAAAAAAAAACGTTTGAGCTATTTCACAAATTGATATTGTAACCTACATACATAGTTTGTGCAATTACATAGTTTTAAATTGAATGTTAAAAGTTCATACTGATGTACTATTCTGTAACTAATTTTAATATAAATCATTTAATGGGTGCAACAGCCTGTCACTGGCAGTCTGAATGTTACATTGAGTGACCATAGTCCAATTAGACCTATAATATAATGTAGATTTCCATGGTTACCACTACAAGTAAACATTTTAAACTTGTGTAAACAAAAATATCATTTATTTCCAATTAAGGTGTAATGTTAAAACATTGTGGATGTTGAATGTGGATGTTGTCATGTGACTGCATTTTGGTTTGTTTCATCAACTCAACCGATTCTGACCACACCAATGTGTAAAAAAGGAACCAAAACGCTTGTTGGTCCGGACCAAATGAACCGAATTACAGATGTGAAAACGCCCTTAAACACCTCTTCCGCTCTTCAGAAGTGTGCTGTTGCTACACTGGGCTGGTCGCACTGGGCTTTCTTTTTTTAAATTAATTTATAATGTGGTAGTAATGAAGGAGAGCCTGCCCTTTTATTATATAACTAATATAGCATACTAGTCTATGTTTTTGCTACTGTTGGTGTAGTCAAGTAAACTTTGCTAAGGCCAGCGCAGTAACAAGTTTGTTTCCAAAGAAATTATAGTAACAGTATTAAACATGATATTTTTAAGTGAATAGCACATAATATTTTTCTCAGTGTACTTGTAGTCATTAAAATGGCAATGTTTCTTTAGTGAATATAACTGTGTTGTCTTACTTTTTGTGGGGCAGAAGCCCCACTGTCCACCGTTGTCGTAATCTTTTTCTGTTGAACACCACAGATGACCATCAGTCCTGCCATCCACAGTGCACTCAGCGTACCACTTGCCATTAAACTTAAAAGGGAAATGGCATGGTTTCCCAAGTGAATTACCACCTATACTAGACATCTCTGCAGAACATAAATAAATGAAATTAAGGGTGCAAGTTTAATTTAGAATGGTTTAAGAATTTGATGTAATCAAGTCCGTCACCTAGTTTAACAAATGCTAACATCACACAGGGAAATTCATTATATATGAATAGACATTAAATATGAATGTTACATTTTGTCAGTATAAAGGGCTTAATGGTTGCCCAAATATCTCCAAATATTTGTGTCCAAATAATATTTTAGACTTTTGGTCGTACCTTGATATCCATGAGAACACAGATTTTCGTTGGTCCCATAAATCTGCCAGCGACTCCAAACACCTGTTCCAGTAAACAACACCATATTTTTGTCATATTCATTTCTATGGTTCAGGTGCAGTGGATGTCCCTTCAATCCAAACAAGGTCTCATTTTTACATTCCCAGGTTTGTCCGGGGTTAGACTCATTGCAGGGCAGAAGGATAATTTGGGCCCAGTCTTCTATCTTCTTTGCCCCCAAACAGAGACCTAAAGAGAGGCTGATGATTCGTGAAGAGGAAATCCATCTGAAATACTGTGCCTCAGATGATTCGTCACATGATGCAGCCTCTACATTAGCACTCACGACTGTCAAACATTTGTTGTGGTCCTCGTTGTAGATAAGGAAGGGGCTGGTTTCTTAATGTATGGAAAAATATGTCAGACACTGTAAAAGCCAACACATGACATACTGTGTAAATTTATAAAACTAAAAAAACTAGACGCTGTGTCACAACAGGTCGAGACTGATTATGCATTGAAGTAAGAATTTTTTACATTTTATATTTAATTTTCTTGTTTAGTGTATAGTATTTTAAACACAATCATGCCAAAAAGTACTTTAAAGTCCCTACAAATTCTATGAAATTCCACATTATACAGTCAATTTCGTGTTTTTTTTTATGGATTCTGTCTGCATTTTCTGCATTAAGGAATTCATAGTGCCCTAGATAAAACGTAATAAAGACATTTAACAACTAATAATTAATCATCATGACTGCAATGTTACTAGAGATGGAGAAAAATTCTACTCCAGTGTAACCGGGTTCCTCTCCCCAAAAACATTAGTACTCAAAAGCACTTTCCTCCACGTTTTCTGCTGTGCATCGTTTATTTTTACCACGCATGCTCACCTGCGCACCAGTTATATGCACCCCTGAGTATATCGATAGTCACATATTTCAAATTTCGTTTTACTCCGGCCCTTAGTGAAAAATCATAAAGAACTTTGCTGTGTGCATAAATTCGCTAAATTTACTTTTTGATTCACCTGCCACGGGGACTGGTAGATGAAAAAATCCACCAGCCAAGCATATTTTTTTACCGGCCAAAATAATAAACAGCCTTTTTTGTGTCGCACATAGATTAATTTATATATATTTATAATTCATTATAGTGGTCTATTATTTTCAATTTTAATTTACACATATTACACAATTTACACACATAAAATAATATTTTTGTGGTGGTGCCTATGAAAATAGTTCTGTTCAAATGAAATGTATTAGTTGTATATTTAATAAAATATGGAATAATAATATATTATAATTATTTAAAAAAATTATTTAGTTTTACTCTACCTATTTTTTTTATTCCATTTACTCCGATCAGTAACTAAAGGACTGCTATATTTGCAGTATTTACTTTACAGCTTTACTCGTGAACTACAAAAATCCTGTTCATCAAGAAGGTGCTGGACACTACATGTGTACTGCATCCAAACCCAACTAAACTGTGCTCTGGCCCACCTCTTCCAAGCCTCCACCTTATAACCAAGCCCGTGTACGATACGGAGTGATCACACTAGTCAAACGAATCAGACTTTGGGGGTCAAACGTGCTTGGCCGCAGTTCAGATCGCCTAGTGTGAGTACACCCTAAATGGGCTAACAAAAAGGGCTAAAATCAGAGTAAAAAATTAGCTTTTTTTAAATTATGACAGTTTTATTGCAAAAGTTATACTTACATCTATGTAATTTGTTAAAATAATTTTATCTAATAAAAAATAATTCAGTACATGACCCCTTTAAAGGGTAAGTAAACCTTAAACCAACTTTTTTTAGTTAATGATCTGTAAGAATAAGCTTTTTTAATGCTGATCATTGATTCGAGTAATTTTTTTGACATTTTGGGTATAAGTGTTTTATTTTTTCTACAATATATGGTGTAAAAACGTCTTAGTGCTGCCCTCTTCAGGTTGAACAGTGGCTACTGCAGTTGAATTTTCCTATTGGATGTTTGCGGTTCTTCGTGACGTACGCAGGTTTCAGCTTACCACGCCCTTAGTACCGAGCTACAGCTGCCATGCCCTCGGCAGTTTAAAAATCCGCCCCATGACAGTCACGGTTCGTCTCAATTTTTTTAAATTGCTCTTTAAAATATTTTTCTTAAAGAACACTGACATTAAATTGTATAGATTAAAGGGATAGTTCACTTTGAAATTAATTGTTGATATGTTTTATGCCCCTGAGGTAAGCTAAAACATATAAAAAATTAATTTCAAAATGAACGATCCCTTTAAAGTCAGTAGACAGACGATGCCATCGAAACTTTTGTACCATTGACCGGTGTAAAACACAAATTATAATGACTCATCATATCTTTTAAAGTTTTTTGAAAATGAAGACTGACCGATTAAAGTGATTAGATCGGATGACGCACCTGTCACTGAAGTAGTAGTAGTATGCCATGCATCAGGAGAAGCTGTACAAACAGACAGCAAAATTATATTGATGCTATCCTTGTAGAATAAAAAAAAATTGAAAAGTGTATTCAACTTAATGCACCTGTTGTTGTATGGTAATCTGGGTCCCATGCATCAGCCCCATCTGTACAAAACACAGAAAAAATGATATTGACTCCAACCTTATATAGACACAAAATCTGAGGCAGAGAAATGTGATCCACTTACTGAAAGCTGACCAAAGGACCAATAAAAGGATAGAAAGCAGGTTCATGCTGTCATAGATTAGAGAGCCACAGCTTTCTGAGACACATGTGGCAGAGACTGGGCTTTAATACAGAGGAAGTCTATTAAGTGTTACAAAGAAATATAGAGTAGGAGTGAAAAGCAGAAGTGGCTATTATGACAAAAATTAACTTCATACACAGCAAAATCTTCATTGTTAAATATACACCACATGGGAACCACCAGCAGTGTATTAAAGTGAAAATCAAGTTTTTAATGTTGTTTATGTGGTGTTTTCAATATGCTTTAAGACAAACCATGTGTAAATTCATAAATCAACACCATTGCTGAGAATTTTCTCCTTAAAACTGCAGTGAACCAGAGACGGTCTCAAAAACGCAGTCACAAATATTTTAACCAATCACATCTACGTGAGGGCTGGCTTTAGCATATCATTATGCTGCGAAGGAGAGGAGTCTCAAGAGAAGCCAGGTTATCCGGGTATATTTTTCTGTTGATATGAAAAATCCAACCCGATCTCACGGCAATTCGTACGAATTTTACGAGGTGGCTAATTCTTACAATTTCAAACAACCTCACTTGTGCGAATTAGAATGATTTTTGCTAAATCGTACATATTTTAGTGGCGAGTGGCGTCTCTGAGGTGCGACCAATGAACTTAGCCCTATACGTCATTACACGATCTTCAGTCTTCACGTACCTTGGCGGGGTTTCAGACACGTGACACGACTTGCACCGATCAGATGCATCACTGTGGGATTGTTCAGGATTGTGGGTAATGAAGTACTTATCCAATACATCGCGAATAAAAGGCATTTAACTTAAAACAAGGTTAGTGCCCCATGAACTTTTGCCGTTTATATGAGCATATACAATCGCTTAGTACAGCCGTAGCTGGTTTTAAGTCTACTATGTATGGTTACGTTTTTATGGCTTATATCTCAAATGTCAATGGAGAAATTGTATTGAATTTTTTCTTCCGGCACCGGCTGTGGGCAGGGCCGTGATACTGTATTTGTATGAATTCATCTGACCCCTTTTAATCACTCGTACAAATTCGTACGAATTGGTCGTGAGATAGCGTTGGAAAAATTAGGTCCTTTTAGCAATATAGTTGGTGAATTATGTTTATTAAAAAAATATATATAATTTTTTTTTTCAATTTATTAGCTTGGTAACACAAGCTCAGCAGTATAAGATATTGAATTCGTAAGCACTTACCCAAGACTCTTCTCTTTAAATACTAACGAGACTGATTATTCTAACACATAAAACTAATATCAAAAACACATTCACATGAGTTGCAGAAAGAAAGAAAGTGAAAGGAAAGAATGAGTTTTAAGAGAGTGAAATGATGAAATCCCAAATTTCAATATATATGCACTTTATGGGACCTAAACTGTCCTATAAAGTTATAGTTCTTAAGCATAAAATCCCGAAATGTAATTTGAAAGCTTACCCAGCAATGCCTTTACAGTGTAATATACTAACATGTGATTTCCTTCTTTGATATAAAGAGGACCAATCTACATAGTTGTTCAGCAAACAATGATGAGTACGTGAGCAAGCATTTGTTATAAAACGCAGTGCAGCATGATAAACACCATCCAGCTTTTAAAGGGTTAGTTCACCCAAAAAAGAAAATTAAGTCATTAATTACTCACCCCCATGCTGTACCAACCCCGTAAGACCTTCGTTCATCTTCGGAACACAAATAAAGATATTTTTGATTGAATCTGAGGGCTGGATCAGTCCTACATAGACAGCCTGAGGGACTGCCTCTTGACGGCCCAGAAAGTCATTAAAAGAAAAGGTTTAAATATTCCATGTGCCTACAGTGGCTCAACTATAACTTTATCAAGCGACGTGACTACTTTTTGTGCGAAAAAAAATGTAAATAACCACTTTATTCGACTTTCCAGTACTTCCTTATGGGCGCATGCGCGAGAACTGAGACGAGACCGTTCTTCTTCGACTACTTTTTGTTACCGGCTGCTCACCGCTTAGGAGTTTTACCGCCCCCTACCGTATAAGATGACGTACTGATATAGCCGGAGGCGCAAAACGTTCTGTTTACAAGCAGTATGTCATCTTATACGGTAGGGGGCGGTAAAACTCCTAAGCGGTGAGCAGCCGGTAACAAAAAGTAGTCGAAGAAGAACGGTCTCGTCTCAGTTCTCGCGCATGCGCCCATAAGGAAGTAATGGAAAGTCGAATAAAGTGGTTATTTACGTTTTTTTTCGCACAAAAAGTAGTCTCGTCGCTTGATAAAGTTATAGTTGAGCCACTGTAGGCACATGGAATATTTAAACCTTTTCTTTTAATGACTTTCTGGGCCGTCAAGAGGCAGTCCCTCAGGCTGTCTATGTAGGACTGATCCAGCCCTCAGATTCAATCAAAAATATCTTTATTTGTGTTCCGAAGATGAACGAATCATCTGTCTGTTTACCAAAATTCTTCAAAATATCTTTCAACATTTACATTTATTTTTTTATCCCATTCTTTTGATTTCCTGAATCACTTCTCTGTAACCTCTCTTCAGGGTTCCTATAAACATTTTCCATTTCATACCTTTTCAGACTCAAATTTTCACACCTCTAGATTTTTCAGTCATATTTCGTGGTTCATTCAACATTATTTTCAGCATTATATTTAGTAAGTAAAGTAGGTAAATACAGTCTCTAAATCTTTTTTTTCTGTTTTTTTTTCTCTTAAAGTGTTAACATGCGCTTACAAAGCATTTTAGGTTTCTTTTCATCATGTAAGACTGGAAAAACTGGAAGATAGCGCAACTCTCTGAGAGAACAAAGCAAATTAACATTTTAATGTCTTTATTCCAGAACATTTGATGTTTTGTATTGATTATCTTTGAACTTATATATTTACCTGACATAATAAATTTTAACATTTTAAAAATTCTAACTGACATAATTTCATTAGTTAAAGGGAACATTCAATAATTCGCTCGTATAATGATGCACTGATATCATTAGAAACATTTTCATTTTTGGAGTCAGATGAAATAACGAGAGAAAACATATGAAAAATGTATTGCATTTAATCAAAAATGATTTGCCACGAGAAAAGACTTCACCCGCTGATCGGAGCCGGGCTTTACAGCTTTAAAACCTCCATATACGTATATAAAACTGAACAGGGGCAGTAGTCTGTAAAACAAACTTTTTTCTACTTATCCACACCTGGAAATTACTCAAATTCCATACTTTTCCAAACTGCATAAACCCTGCCTCTTTGAAACTGTTGGCCTTTATGAGGAGGAGACTGCCAGTTTCTGCTTACACTGCATAAAAATAAGATGGGAAAGCGCATCACAGAATAGGGAACTTCCACAGAAAAAAAAATACGCTCTTCTGCTTAAAAGGTTTTCGACAAAAAGAGGAATAAGACCAAAATAAACATTAGTTGGGCTTTCCCGAGATGAAGAAACTTTTCTCTATCAAAGAGACATTGCTTTCTAATCATTTATTAAATTGATACATTTCTGAGTAAAAATGGGTTCCTGTTTTTTTTTTTTTTTAGTGTATGACTTTTTTTTTTGGTAACAGTTTACAATAAGGTCTCATTTGCTAAAACGTGTTAATGTAATAACTATCACAAACTATAGGCAATTAATTAATTACAGTATTTTTAAAACTTTTTTAATGTTAGTTAATAAAAAATACAGTCATTCATTGTGTGTTCATGTTAGATGACAGGGCATGCTATGGTAAAAAAAATACAACTTTTGATTTTAATAATGTATTACTAAATGTTGAAATTAACTTTAGTTAATATTAACTAACAATGAATAATACTGTTACAGCATTTATTAATCTTAGTTTTGATTTTTTTTTATTTGATTTATTCAACAATGATCATGCCAGAGGCAATTCATATACATTTCAATGCAACTTGTCGAGGATAAAATACACAAAAAAGCCTCAGGCTTATTTCCATTGTGGTCCTCTATATGCATAAAATGGGCGAACAGTTCCAGTGGGAATAAAATCAAAAATAAACAACTCACACCTTAATAAATTCGTATGGGATCCTATTTGGAAAGCCATTTTTAACTTCTTTTCTAAAGGGCCATGCCTCTTGGAATTGTTTTAAATGAACTGGCAATTCATTCCAATCAACTGCAAAGTAAAATACTCATCTAAAAGTAAAATACTCATCTAAAAGTAAAATACTCATCTCCCACCCATATTTCTGAATTGGGACATTTCTTCAATTTCGCAGCAGAACCAAATAAAATAGCCTTAGTTTTCCCTAAGGGCAACGATTAATCGCATCCAAAATAAAAGTTTTTGTTTACATAATATGTGTGTGTAGTGTGTATAATTAATTTGTATATATAAATACACACACATGCATGTATATATTTAAGAAATATGTGCATGTATATATTTTATATACAGTATATTCACAATTAATATTATATATAAATATAAATATTTGATATATTAACACATTTTTCTTAAATATATACATGCATGTGTGGGTATTTATATATACAAATTAATTATACACACTACACACACATATATTATGTAAACACAAACTTTTATTTTGGATGCGATTAATCACGATTAATCGATTAAACATACATCCATTATTGTCAAAATAGCTGGCAACAAAAGTTAGTACACCCTAAGTGATAATAGCTGTACGTCGTTTAACATGCAAAGCCACGTGTCCTATTCATTAGAGCCCGACCGATAAAGGATTTTGAAGGCCGATACCGATACAAATATTTTTGGGTTTTAAAATCCGATATTCCGATATATCGGCCGATTTTTTTTTTTTTTTTTTTAATTTTTTTATTTTTTTAAATTGGACATGATAGTCATAAATTTTGTCCTGCTTATTTGAGTTAAGAGAACTGATGGGGATGTTCTTTTAATTGTTATTCAAGCAATGAATGTCTCGTGACCAACTCAACGAGTGTTGCCAACAGGAATGGTGTAGAGTGCCCTCTGGTGGACAAACTATACAACTCCAACACTCATGACATGGTTCAAGTGTGTTTCGTCCATTTTTATTTTATTTTTGAAATATTCATTTATCGGCCATTATAACTGCTGATACCGATAGTTTGGAAAATGCCTAATATCGGCCGATAATATTGGTCTGCCGATATATCGGTCTGGCTCTACTATTCATCATGTTCATGTTTTTGTCTGCTTGACAGGATCATACAAATTTGTCTATCTTGAATTAGAGCAGTTAAAATTTGTGCTTTGAGGCCAATTCCCTCATACCGACCACTGTTCAACATGGCAAAGAACTCTCTAAGGATTTGAGAATTAGAATTGTTGCTCTCCACAAAGTTGACCTAGGCTATAAGAAGATTTGTAACACCCTGAAACTGAGTTACAGTACAGTGGCCAGGGTCATACAGAGGTTTTCCAAGATGGGTTCCACTCAAGCGCAAAACTTTCTGTTTACAAGCAGAGGAAGATGCGCGCTGTACATACGCTTTTCAATTAGCGTATTTTCCGCACTACAAGGTGCACTTAAAATCCTTTAATCTTCTCAAAAAATGACAGTGTTCCTTATAATCCGGAGCGCCTTATATATGGATCATCATTTTATACGGTAGGTGGCGGTAATACTCCTAAGCGGTGAGCAGCCAGTAACAAAAAGTAGACGAATGAGAACGTCCTCGTCTCAGTTCTCGCGCATGCGCCCATAAGGAAGTAATAGAATAGTCGAATTATGTCGTTATTTATGTTTTTTTATGTCTCGTCGCTTGATAAACTTATAATTGAGCCGCTGTAGGCACATGGAATATTTAAACCTTTTCTTTAATGACTTTATGGGCCGTCAAGAGCCAGTCCCTTAGGCAGTCTATGTAGGACTGATCTCAGATTCAATCAAAAATATCTTTATTTGTGTTCCGAAGATGAACGAAGGTCTTACGGGGTTGGAACAGCATGGGGGTGAGTAATTAATGACTTAATTTTCATTTTTGGGTGAACTAACCCTTTAAGGCAGAGCTAGATAACAGTGGCGCTCACACAAAATGTTGACTCTTTAGACAGAGTTTTGACATGTTCAATTAGGGTGTTCTCACTTTTGTTGCTATTTCTTTTGTTGTTGTCAATAATGGCTGTATTTTTATTTATTTTTTAGAGGAAAGTATAAATATATTGCTATACAAGCAGTACATTGACCACTCTAAAATATATCCAAGTTTCATTTCTATAGTATTGTCCCTTGAGAAGATATACTGAAATGTGAGGGGTGTACTCACTGTTGCGAGATACTAGATATAAAATAAGGATTTTACTTGAATGTTCAAAGAGTAATACAGTTCAGCATGCAGAAAATTTGATTAATCTGAATTGATTAATTGATTAGTTGTCCATTCTTTCCTCTTCAGAAACTCGGATGTCTTCTACATTAATATATTCATCAGATGCCCCAGTAATCTTTGGACCTGTTAAAAAAAATGCATTCTGCTTATTTTGTGTCTGATTTGATTTAATATTGTGTTGTGCAGCAGCATGAATGTGGCAACAACACACAGCTAAATAAATTACAAGCTCCAGGGTAGGTATGTGACAATAGCAAAATTTCAACTCAAATTGAGATAATTACTGAAGCTTTTATCACGGTATATACATTATCATCACAATATTGAAATAAGTTGCAAATTTTTTGTTGTTGTTCTATAACAGGTTTAATATATTTTTCTTGTGACAAAAAGACGAGATGTTTTCTTGTTCTTTTGAGCTTTTCTAAAACCAAGTGCTATCACATAAAGTATGAATTTTAAAAGAATATATCAGAATTATTATTTGTTTGGGTGAAATGCTCACCTTTAGCATTGCTCTTAAAGGTGGCTATGATCATTGCAGCTGTCATGATGACGAGACAAACAACAATGAAGTAGAAAAAGCCAATATAGAATGAAGAGACTCCTTCCTCATGATGATCCAAGATTGCAGGACAATCTGAAAGCAAACACAAGGACCAGCAAAACCACATGAATTTCACATGTGCAAAAACATATGTGGTCACATGTGAAACGCATACTTTGCATATGGAAAACATGTGGTTTTGGAACAGTTCCCATGTAAAAAACATGGGAAATTCATGTGATTATTCTATAATAGAAAAAATATAAATTTACACTCCTAGGTCTTAAGGGCACATACCATATGAGATTTATTTCAAAGAGCCTGGATTCAACATGCAAGTAATAGGCATTAGGATTACAATACTTCTTTTATCTTTAATGAAAGTGCCATTTGTAGTATATTTATGTTTTACCAGACTGTATAGATCTCGCTGTAGTTGATGTGTCCATATATGGTGATTAATAATGTTAATTAAAATTTATTTAGAAATAAACAAATAAATAGAATAATTTCTTACTTTTAATAACCAAAAACTATGCATTAGTACAACAGCAAATCTGCCGACTTACTCGGTGTGTTGTAATACAACACACTCATCACTCACACGCTCATGATGGGGGTGTTTTGAGCTTAATAAAGATATGTATTTTTTTTTTTTTGAAAAGCTGTATTTAGTATAGCCATTAAACAATTAAGTGACTTAGTGATGATAACCTATATGAACATTTATTTAAATATTTCATACCAAGTACAAATCCATTAACATATTCACTGACATATCACTTGATAGTTACTGATATAAATATTATAATTAAACTTTATTTGGAGTACTTCTTTGTTCCGCAATGCACATTTCTTAATATTAAGCCTAAAATGTGTTTTAATATAACTGTTATTAAGGATAGTATGATTATATTAGTATGTGTAATATAATTCTTTAAATGCAATTGTTTAGGTACATTGACATTTGTTGAGGTGTCAATCTAACATGCCATCATAACAGCATAAGGATTACAATAGTTTTGAAAATGTCAAATGTAGTGTATTCTCAGTTTGTTTTACCAGATGGGCTGTAGTTGTAAGTCTCACTGCGACGGTTCACCGCAGAATTAATCTCGTGCACACAGGTGAAGGAAACAGGTGGACTCACTTTCACATCAAACATACACTTATCATTTGAATAACACAGTGGGTCCTTCATTGTGTAGTTGTGTTCACCCTCCACTGACAGCTGGAAAGAGCTCTCAATGGACCACTTCCCAAATGAACACATCACTATTACATGCGCTCTGTCCTGCATCTGCCCATACACTGTGATGTTGGGCTGTGAGACATCTGAAATAAAACACACCAACATGCTTATTTGCTTTTTGTTCATCAAACTGAGAGTCAAGATGAAACTAGAAATATTATATATACATACATATATTATCCTTTTATTCACTCCAGTTAAAGAGTGTTGGTGTTAGGTTCTAAATTTCGGCGCTGGGTTGCGAGTATTGGGCATAATTTTACTCATTCCTACAGGTTTTGCACTCACTCATTGTTCTATATAAATGGCGCACACATAAAGCCACCTCGCAAACTAGAGACCTGCACTCCCTCGGGAATACCGCTGGACCCAACGCAAAAGAGGCGCGGGACTAGATTTAATGGCCGGGTAGGGATGAGTGTATCGATATAATGTATCGATACATCGAAACTGATGACGACTATCGAAAGTATCGATACTCCATCCATCCATCTTCTTCCGCTTATCCGGGGCTGGTTTGCGGGAGCAGCAGTCTAAGCAGAGATACCCAGACTTCCCTCTCCCTAGACACTTCCTCCAGCTTTTCCGGGGGGGCACCGAGGCGTTCCCAGGCCAGCCAGGAGACATAGTCTCTCCAGCGTGCCCTAAGTCTTCCCCGGGGTCTCCGTCCAGTGGGACTTGCCCGGAACACCTCCCCGGGATGACGTCAAGGAGGCATCTGGAACAGATGCCCGAGCCACCTCAGCTGACCCCTCTCGATGTGGGGGAGCAGCGGCTCTTCTGAGCTCCTCCCGAGTGACCGAGCTTCTCACCCTATCTCTAAGGGATCGCCCAGCACCCTGCGGAGAAAGCATATTTCGGCCGCCCGCCCGCCCGCCCGCCCGTATCCGGGATCTTGTCCTTTCGGTCATGACCCAAAGCTCATGACCATAGGTGAGAGTAGGAACGTAGATTGACCGGTAAATCGAGAGCTTTGCCTAACGGCTCAGCTCCTTCTTCACCACAACAGACCGGTACATCGACCGCATTACTGCTGAAGCTGCACCGATCCGTCTGTCAATCTTCCGTTCCATCCTTCCCTCACTCGTGAACAAAACCCCAAGATACTTAAACTCCTCCATTTGAGGAAGGATCTCTCCACCAACCTGAAGTGAGCAAGCCACCCTTTTCCGACTGAGGACCATTGCCTCGGATTTGGAGGTGATGAATTTCATCCCAGCTGCTTCACACTCGGCTGCAAACCGTCCCAGCGCATGCTGAAGGTCCTGGTTTGAAGGGGCCAGCACGACAACATCATCATCATCAACAAAAGCAGAGACGATGGCCTGGCTCCAGGGTGGGGCCCCGGCTGCGTCATACCGGGCGACGTCACGGTCCTTGAATTTTTCTTGAATTAAGAGCAGTTTTGAACTGCTCTTAGACCTGCCGCCTAGGACCTGTTTGCCTTGGGAGACCCTACCAGGGGCATATAGCCCCAGACAACATAGTTCCTAGGATCATTCGGGCAAGGGCGTAGATTACGCGGGGGACGCGGGGGACGTGTCCCCCCCACATTTTCTAAAATGTAAATTTGTCCCCCGCACTTTTTCATAGGGGAAGTGTTCACGACATGTTGAGGTTTTCGCGAGCCAATGTGTATTTATAGATACAGATTTAAAATTCAAAGAGAAAAGATCGCCTATCTACTGTATCTACACGTGACTTACACATTGCGCTCGTGCATCACCACACGCCCGTGCTCGCACCCGCACTGAATCCATCGTCGAAGGTCGAAAGGAATTCAAAACAGCGAAAAACACTTCACACTTTTTTTCGCAAAAAAGTCAAGAACTGTAAGTTGTAATGTGGTATCCGAATTTGGTTGCTCATTGCCATTGATGAATAACTTTGCCTAATTTTCTGCCATTATCTAACTTATTTGCTTGAATCATGCAGTGTTGTACTTAACATGTGTACATGATGTTTACCATATAATATATACTGTACGTAAGTTATAACCAGAAAGTTTGAAGAAGTTTTAAAAGCATGAAGTTTGAATGTTTTCAATATGAAAGACAGTTTTGGTTAAGTAAAACAGACAGACAGACAGACAGACAGACAGACAGACAGACAGACAGACAGACAGACAGAGAGAGAGAGAGAGAGAGAGAGAGAGAGAGAGAGATAGCTAATGAAACCTTATTGTAAAGTGTTACCATTCAATATAAATGCAGTGCAATTGTATGCATTAATGTTCTGATTTAGGTCTTAATTTATAGGGCTCAATAATATTATTGCACTAATTTAATGTTTTTTTTTCTTTTTCTGTGTTGTCAAGATTGATCAAGAAACAGGGAGCGTAGGGTTGTCAGGTCAGAAAGAGGATGACACTCAAAAAAAAAGAAAGTTCACAGGTGAAAAGTAATAGACTGGCTTTTAAAAAAAGCTTGAATCATGCAGTGTTGTACTTGTAACATGTGTACATGATGTATATAATAAGGTAACACTTTACAATTTGATTAAAAAGGTTTGTAGACAAACGTTAAGTTTTCTTTAAAAAGCCTACCAGAAAGTTTGAAGAAGTTTTAAAAGCATGAAGTTTGAATGTTTTCAATATGAAAGATGTAAGATAGATAGATAGATAGATAGATAGATAGATAGATAGATAGATAGATAGATAGATAGATAGATAGATAGATAGATAGATAGATAGATAGATAGATAGATGGATAGATAGATAGATGTGTTACCATTCAATATAAATGCAGTATGCAATTGTAAAAAAAAGGTATAATGCTTAACATTCTGTCCCCCTCACTTTTGAAATGATTGCTACGCCCCTGCATTCGGGTACTCAAACCCCTCCACCTCGTTAAGGTGGCAGTTCAAGGAGGGGTAACAATACTCAAATATTATTATTTTTTTATCGATACTCAAATAAAAGTATTTTAAAAAGAATTGGATGAATAACCTAGCCTGGCTAACGCCAGACCACGTATCATTGAGAATGAAACGTGGTCTGGAAACAACATGTTAATTTTCTCGTATTTGAGGCGTGGTTTACGAATGCCCAGAGCCGTATTATTGGGTGCTACGAATGTCTATCAATTGCGCCTGTACGAAGCTCATAGCCAATGGGGTCAATGATACCAGATGACGTATGAAGAGTGACAGAAAATTAGACGAGGAAAAAGAAGATGGGTCAGAGATTTAACGTAAAACTTCAAATAATAGCCGAGTCCCAAATAGACGCCTGTCTCTTTTACACGCCTGGTGTAAAACCTTCAGATTGCTTTTTGGCGGCCGCCAAAGCAAATTTTTGTCCCGCCAAAGCCTATTTTGAGCGGTGAGTGATGTTGAATAGAAACTGCTGCACTTGACAGGGTGCATAATGAGCAGAGAGAGAGAGAGGGAGAGAGAGAGAAAACGCGCCCAATTACATAGTTTTAAATTAAATGTTAAAAGTTCATACTGATGTTCTATTCTCTAACTAGACTGGGCACTGGGCCAGACTTCCAGCCAGCCACCAGAACCAAATGTTTTCTCAGTGCTAATTGAGTGTTTTTGTAAAAAAAAAAAAAAATACCAATTTTTTTTAATTGTTTGTTTCATTTATAATGTGGTAGTAATGAAGGAGAGCCTGCCCGTTTATATAACTAATAACTAATATAGCATATTCTATGTTTTTGCTACTGTTGGTGTAGTCAAGTGAACTTTGCTAATGCCAGTGCAGTAACAAGTTTGTTTCCAAAAAATTATAGAAACAGTATTACACATGATATTTTTAAGTAAATAGCACATAATATTTTCCACAGTGTAGTCATTAAAATGGCAATGTTTCTGTAGTAAATATAGCTGTGTTGTCTTACTTTTTGTGGGGCAGAAGCCCCACTGTCCACCGTTGTGGTAATTTTTTTCTGTGGAACACCACAGATGACCATCTCTGCCATCCACAGTGCACTCAGCGTACCACTTGCCATTAAACTTAAAAGGGAAATGGCATGGTTTCCCAAATGAATTACCACCTATACTAGACCTCTCTGCAGAACATAAATGAATGAAATTAAGGGTCCAAGTTTGTGCAAGAATGGTTTAAGAAATTGATCTAATCAACAAGGACACTGAAGTAGTGTTGTCAAAAAACTCGGTACTTCGGTACCAAGTCGGTACTAAAAAAAAAAAAATGTTACGGTACCAGCTTTTCTAGGTACCGAGTACCAGGTTAATCCAGTTCTGTTCTAGACGCGCTGTCTGAAACGTGCACAGTTGCGTCCTCTTCATAACGCTGATATGGCTCTCTCTCTCTGAATCCACTTGTTGAAACGAAAGGAGGAAAGAGCCACATATGGAAATATTTTGGATTAGGCTAATGTCACGTTGCCATAAGAGGCCGATTACATGCAAATTCGCAATTTCAAATATAGGCGTGATTCAAGCGCGCTCCTAATAAAAACTCGTTGGCGTTGCATAGCAACGACAGACGCCGCGTGAGAGCAAGCGCTTTGGAAAGAATAAGCACGCGCAAAAATATCATTAAAAAACACGCGCGACATGTGAACGGCCCCTAAAGTGCTTTCGGGGTAGTTTTACGAGTACATGAGCACAGTAGTATCCACCCGACACCAGAGTACTGGTATTAGTATTATCATTTAATGTCAATGCCAGTTCTAGGCGTATTCTTGCCTTTATAACTCAGCAGGTTTAAAAAGCCTTTTTAAAATTAAATATGAATGCAGTTTTAGATTAATAAAAGGACAGTCAAGTCAAATAAAACATGTTTTATGGTAATGCTACAAAGATACCATTCATAAACATTACTTAGTTATCAACACAATGAGTGAACAATATATTTTTACAACATTAATTAATGTTTGAAAATGTTATTTATTACAAACACCTGATTGTTCATGTTTGTTCACTTAATTCATTGTGCATTAAATAAATAATGGATTAAAACTTTACAAACAACTTTAAAAATGTGTTAGTGTATACTATTGTTTATTTTAGGTCATTTTATCTAATCTTTTTCTAAAGTGTTTATAATACGAATGTACAGTTTCCATACTTGTAACCGTGATAAACACTTAAATATATGTAAATTTAAACTAAGCTTTGGTACCGAAATTGGTACCGAGAACCGTGAATTTTAACTGGTATCGGTACCGAGTACTGAAATTTTGGTACCGTGACAACACTACACTGAAGTCTGTAACCTAGTTTAACAAATGCTAACATCACACAGGGAAACTCATTATATATGAATAGACAATAAATATGAATGTTACATTTTGTCATTATAAAGGGCTTAATGGTTGCCCAAATATCTCCAAATATTTGTCCAAATAATATTAGGTGGACTTTTGGTCGTACCTTGATATCCATGAGAACACAAATTTTCGTTGGTCCCATAAATCTGCCAGCGACTCCAAACACCTGTTCCAGTAAACAACACCATATTTTTGTTACTTTTATGTCCATGGTTCAGGTGCAGTGGATGTCCCTTCAATCCAAACAAGGTCTCATTTTTACATTCCCAGGTTTGTCCGGGGTTAGACTCATTGCAGGGCAGAAGGATAATTTGGGCCCTGTTTTTGATCTTCTCTGCCCCCAAACAGAGACCTAAAGGGAGGCTGATGATTCGTGAAGAGGAAATCCATCTGAAATACTGTGCCTCAGATGATTCATCACATGATGCAGCCTCTACATTAGCACTCACGACTGTCACACATTTGTTATGGTCCTCGTTGTAGATAAGGAAGGGGCTGGTTTCTGAATGTATGGAAAAATATATCAGACACTGTAAAAGCCAACACATGACATACTGTGTAAATTTAACTAAAAAAACTAGACGCTGTGTCACAACAGGCCGAGACTGATTGTGCATTGAAGAAATTCTGGTGAGATTTTTTAATTTTAAATTTCATTTTCTTGTCATTAATTGTTTAGTGTATAGTATAGTATAAACACAATCATGCCAAAAAGTACTTAATTAAATTAAAAATTAAAAATTGATAGCCTCAAGTGCCTATAAGGGTGGTGTGTGTATGTATATATGTATGTATATATGTATGTATATATATATATATATATATATATATATATATATATATATATGCAGTATAATTTGTTTTATCATTATTATTTTAAACAGTTCAGCTTGACTGTCAGTTTAGAACAGTTTTGAATTAATATATACAGTATACTGTTTTATCATATATATACTATATATATATACATATATATATATATATATATATATATATATATATATATATATATACACACACACATGTGTATATATACTGTACATGTATATCAGTAAAAGATTTAGAATGTTAGTGCAGAAACTAAAAGACTAAAACATTGATTATTTCTTTAAGATAAAAGAACATTAACCAGACCCGCTGCATTTGTGGATTTATTGTAAAATGTATTCTTATAGACCATTTTGTAAGATGTAAACAACACTGGTCCAGAAGCACTTCCTGTTTTAGTTTTTTTACTACATAAAAGCTGGGATAAAATACAACCAACAGAACATATAAAGCTGAATCAAAAGGTTAAACAAACACCTTTAAAATGTTTTCTTTACATGTGAAATAAAGAAAACAGTTAAACTGAAACAGAAGTGTTTCTGGACCAGTGTTGTTTACATCTTGCAAAATGGTCTATAATGCTTGTAGTTTTTTCTAGAACAATAGAAAATACAGTTCTTTCTTTAATAGCCAAAATTATGCATCAAAACATCACCTGCTTGCTTACTCTACACATACAGGCTCCTCCTGTAGGGGGTCGAGCTTCATTAAGATAAAGAGAGATAGGGCCTACAGTTTTTTTTTTTTATGAATTTATGACCATTTAAACCATTAGCACAATTTAGAACCTAAATATAACTAATAACTAAAGAAATTATATATATATATATATATATATATATATATATATATATATAATTATTATTATTATATTATTATATTATATGTATTTTCAGTAAATAAAAGTCATCTTACACAAAATTATGCATTATTGCAAGAGTGCAAATCTGTGGACTTACTCTCTCTCTGGTAATGTGTTGTGCTCGTGTCGCTGGGTTGAGCTGCAATGAAACAGAGAAACGTTTTTGAACAGCTGAATATCAAATATATGATTTTATATAAAAAATTATATTAAAAAATGTATATATAAAAGAAATCTTCACACTTACTAGTGGCCCAATAACATGGTTTATTGTACCAGTGGCAGGGCTTTGAAGATGATCCTAAATATAAAAAGTGAAAAAAATACTTTTACATTAATCAGCTCAGATGATTTTATGATGATCAGAAAATAAAGTTATTATATGAGGCACCTGGTGTTGATGGGTAATCTCTAATACGCCATGCTTCAGATGTCAAAAAACACACAAAAAACAGTAAAAAAAAAAAATTATTAGTCATATATGAGTCAACATAAATGCCCCTGATAAATTATTTGTTAATAAGGCATTAACACACAAACAATTAACATAAAACAAGCAGCTCCTGCGGCTGTCTGCATAGTTTGGCATGACTGTGCGCTCCCTTAATAATTCCTAAAAAGCTGACAGTTCATCGCGATCTCACTCATATCTGTTATTAACAATGAAGCTTTCATAATATACACTTTGTTTGTTATAATTAGAGGATTTGCCTTGTGGGATTTGCCAGCATACAGAATTCAGCACTGAACAAAAAGTCTGTTTTAAGCGTAAATGCTTTTAAATTTCGTAAATGCTTCTGATTGGCCATTGCGTTCAAGAAAACAACACATATGTCTGTGATTGGCTACATCGCTCAACTTATTCTCCCTCAACCGACACACACACACACACACACACACACACAGAGTGCATTACCGCCCGCACTGACGTAAAAAACAAAACAAAAAAATTCTTCCACAAGTACTTTCAAGTAAATAGGCACAAGTCCGAGTCAAGTGTAAAGTCAAGTCGAGTCTTTTCAGAGATCTAGTCAAGTCTCAAGTCCAGAAAATTGCAACTCGAGTAAAGTCATATGACTCGAGTCTCCCACCTCTGCAAAATACACTCCGACAGACTCGATGCCAGCGCCTCTTAGGTCAGCAAATTCCTGATGTAACCAAGTGTGAAACTGCATTTGTGAGATAATCGAGCCGAGAGATCTCAATTACAGCAGACAGATATGCATTTGTATGCACTAGATTTGGTATTTTTTCAAAGGTTACATGCAGTTTATAGGATGGTTTGTAGCCTATTTGTGAAAAGTTATCTAGGCTCATTTTTTATATTTGCAAAACACATGGGATACTCCACTGCATTTTCGTTCAAATTGACCTTTCTACTTGCACATTGCTTTCTGTTTGTTTACGAGTCGAGTTTTCCTTTACAAAGCCGATCGAGTTTGTTTGCAAAATGCTGGATTTGTTTGTTTAATTATGGCAAAATATTAACTAAGGAGTATTAAATTAAGGAGTGTGCTGCTGCTGCTGGGATACAGCCAGTTCGCTTGTCTTTTTACTCTTTTACCACGGTCTTTCATATTTACACACATTTACATAGGCCTACTGTCATCTAGCGACGATACACATTTAATTCCACAAACTAAAAAAGTTTGACTAACTATATCAAATATTGACTGTATAATGTATAATATATACAAATATATATAATATGTACAAATATTGACTGTATAATGAATAATGAATATATAAACTATTGTGCAGATTATTTTAACTCAAAACAGAAATTAAGAATAATGACAGAAAAGTGTACTGAATAAATAGTTTAAGCTTTTTAGATACCTGTCAATGGAGGCTCAGCTGTGTGAGGGGACTCTGTACAAAAACACAGCAATTTTTTTATAATAATAACATATTGTATTTAATAACATTTTTTATAATTATAACACATTGGATCTCTGTATTTTAAAATATTTTGATATATTTTTCTGACAGAAACATGTATAGGTTAAAGTCATTGCATGGTGCACCTGTCGTATGGTAATCTCGGGACCGTGCATCAGATGAATCTGTTCAAAAACAAAGCAAAAAAATGTATTAACACCTGTCCTTACAGTAGATAGAGACAAAATCTGAAGCAGAGAAATGTGATAAACTTACTGAAAGCTGGCCAAAGGACCAATAAAAGGACATAAAGCAGGTTCATGCTGTCATAGACACATGAGTGACCGTGAATGAGTCTGACACTGACTTCCTCTGTTTTAATAAGAGAAAGGCAGAGTAGAAATGGCAAAGCAGAAGTGCCTCTCAACACAAACAATAATTTTCTATTTCCATTGCTGCTGGGTTTTGTTGTGTTTTTATACCGCTGTAATCCTTATCAACCTCCCCACTATCATTCACATGCACTAAAAATCACATTTCATCATATACTCACCTGATGGTTCTTGATGTTGAGAGGTGGAAAAGGATCCTCGGCGGTGTCCGTCCCAGCTCAGTTCTGGGTTCGTGTCATATTTCTTTTTTTTTTTATATTGGGCTCTTTGCTCAATATAAAATATCCCAATTCACATAAAGATATTTTTTGGAAAAAATCACTCTGAGTCTGAGTTTAAGAGGTTTTCGAATCACCAAACATATGGCTTAGTTTTACTCAAAAATTTTCAGAATGATACAAAGACAATAAATTCAAAAACAGAAAAAATAAAAGAAAAGCGTATATAGACTTCACCTCGAAAAGTTGCGGCCCCGAAAAACAGGAAACATAATCTTTTATATGGCTAAATTGGGGCTGTCTTTAAGCATTAGGGGAGGCAGTCCTAGTTCAGCAATAATTCCTTACAAGGTATCCACAAGTTTCCGAGGGGCGCTCCTGTAAAAAATAAAGTGGGTGAAACTTCCGGTGACGCGGCTGAAGTAGCATTCCAATGGTATTTTGTGTGTTAGTTAGCGAAGAGGCTAGCTGTTTTTCGGAGAATTATTTTACTATTTAAAGACGCAAATCTTTATGAGAGATGTCGTTACGGAGCTCAGGGACAACATGTGCTGCTCGCGGTTGTATGTATAACCGGACTAAACTAATTTAGTGGCTTAAACGGGATTGTTTTGAACATAAGCTGAAAACGAAATCAGAGTGATCCTGCCAGAGCCCGTCTCTGATCCTGCCAACGACTGTAGTTTCCATCACCTCCCAAAAGACGATGAATCTTCCTGTGTACATTTGTTTAAATTCTTAATATTCTCTAAACTCTATCAGTATGTGATTGGCTGTTCTCTACTGATGTTACACCTAAACTCAGGATCAAAGCCTGTGTTGACAGAATACCAAATGTGCCAGTTAATGTATTCAAGTAGCACATTCATTTATAATTTTATATAAACTCCAAAGCACAATGACTAAGTGTGTATTTTTTATTTTAATTGTTTGTCAGCTCGCACAACTGTCTGTCACCATGCCTTGATGAGTATTGATTATTAATAATGTTATTATAATACTCCCAATCAACTACTGCAGAGGGTAAAGGTACTGTTATTTCACCCTTTTTAATTTCGTTGAGGTTGTGTTCCCACATCGTTAGCTAGTTTGGATCGCTATAACTTGAATGACTGTCAACTGTTGAATGAAT